AAAACTTTGATAAGATGTGTTAGAAATTTCACTTGTACAGCTTCTTGTTGTTGTAATTGATGGAGATTTATAAAAAAAGTTGTTGAGATTTGAGGGTTCAGGCTTGTTAAATTCTTCCGTTTCATTATCAGATGTCTCATTTATTATATATTACCGCTTATTGTTTTTTTTAAATCCGTGATTCAATACTTTATTAATAATATTTGTGATTTCCATTTGAGTATGCTTTTCAGCAAAATATGGACAAACTTTGAGATGCTTTGCACATGCACATTTTGTATTTGTAAATTTTTGCTTCCGAGCTTCATCAAGTCCCAATACTCGAATACAATCCATACAAACAGCAAAGTTATTCCACCGATTTGATTTTTCATCTAAAATCAAAAAATATCCACTAAGCTTATGTTTTTTCCGCATTTTACTAATTACTGCAAAAGAGTTAGTTTCATAATTATTAATGTAACAACAAAAAAAAATGTAAAGGAATTAGTATTTACCGTTAAGTCTAAGCGGAAAAGGAAAGCCACATTTAGTGACACAAATATGTTTCATTGTTAAAAAAAAATTCTTTCGTAAGAATTGAAAAAAACTCGTTTAGAAAATGAAAAAAAAAACTATTTATTTATACTGATCGTACTGTTACATTTTTAGAGTTTAGTGTGATATATAATTTATTACTCATTAGTAGTGATCGACCAACCTATACGAATAGTTTTGATAATTTTAAATAGATTAATTCATTTATATTATGCGGAGTAAAAACGGATTTAATGGCTAAATTTAATTGGACGCTTAATTGGACCAAGTCCAATTGTCAAGTCCAATTGATCAAATTGAACAATTGGATATAGTCCAATTCCAACAAACATTCAATTGGACAATTGGACAATTGGGCGGATTGGACTATATCCAATTGTCCAAATGTCCAAATCGTCCAATTGAATCAATTGGAATGAGTCCAATGCCAACACTGCACACGATTGATTGATGTACTTACTCTTCCAGCTTTAAGTAAAAAAAAAAAAAATAAAAAAGTCAGTATAATTCTGAGTCAGGTGAAACACACATACTAACAGTCATATCTGGGGAGACTAGGAATGGCTCCGCAAGGCACTATACCACCAACAACATATACGGCCAATTGGGATGATAACTGCTAGTGTTTATGACAAGATTTGGCTCGTCGTCAACGACGAATGGTACACGCGACAACCTTGTGAAAACACCAATCTCAGTCTAAGTATCTGACTACCGTCATGTCGCTGACACTTGGGATCTGCCTCTAAAAAAAAGAAGCAGCAGCATGAATTGTCCGCAAAAAAAAAATGTAAAAAAAAATACTGGAAAAATCAATAGCATCATTCTTATGCTACGTCTACGTTAAAGAAAAAAATTATCACCCACAATTTGAAGTAATTAAAGTGAAAGTAAGAAAAAAAACTAAATCTCGAAACAAAATAATAATAAAAAACTATCGAGGTTATTTCCTATGAAAGTTAATCCTAAAGCTGAAACAAAGAATAAAAAATAAATAACATAAACAGCAAATCAGATACCGAATCTAAAAAAAAAAAATCTAAACATTGAGCAAAATCTATATTTTTGGGGGTACCATCGTCCGGAAGGTAAACAAAGCTACTGCTGTAGAACTGTAGAAGAAAAGGAAATATAAGAAGGTACAGCGTTCTAAGGCAATGCGAATTCGCCTTGGCACCGTCTACGAGCTTGTCATATCTTTTTCTGACACTTTTTATAAAAATTCCTAAATATTAATATATTTAGCTTTTTCTTTGAAATATTGCAAATATTTCTTTTTTTTTTTTAAAAAAAAAAACAGATACACGAAAAAAAATTTTTTTTTTGTTTATTTAAAAAAAAAATTTTAAAAGGAATATTTGAGATGGAAGTTGAATTAGGATTAATAACTTAAACAATTAAATTTGTAAAGGTTTTTAATTTTTTTTATTTTTAACAAATTTTATTTTTTTATAAATACGATTTATTGAACAAATTTATTTCAATTAAGATTTAAAATCCTTCTCCATAAAAAATTCGTTCAGAATCGATTAATCAATTCGAAAACAAATCTTAGAAATAGAATCTCTAGAAACAATTAATCGCGTATAATCGATTATACTTTTTCAAGGCTAAAAAAGTTTTGATTGATAATTTAATAGTTAAATTAGTATGGGATTGTACATCTTCCTTAAGAACTTTTCAAACAAGAGACCTTACTTTAATATAGATCTAATAGAATCTCAGACAGATCGCCGCACAATTTAGATTTATTGAGCAGATTAATTTGTTCTTTTTAGGTCGACAAGTGATCCGATGACCTCTCTGTCCAACAGTACCAACTATTTAAAACGCAAAATATTTTTGTACTTCACAAATTAAACATTTTCGTTTCAAAAAATGTCCAAACAATTTTTTCCCAAGTTAAGTCAAAATCTAATTGAAATTTTAGATGATGATGAATATTATGATATTACGATTGAAGTTGGCAAAGAACCGAATGTGAAAATTTTTCGTGCGCATATGATCATGTTGTGCTACCGTTCTCCTTTTTTACGACGAACGTTATCTTCCAACAAAAAAAATGATGAAACCCTAGTTCATATTAAGTTGCCAAATATTTCACCTGAAACTTTTCAAATTATTTTGAAGTAAGTAAATGTCTGAAGCTAAGCGTCCTATTGTCATCATTTTCTTTCGTCATGTTTCGTCATCTTTTAATTATTCATATACCTACTTTTTATGATAATAGATATATTTATGGTGGAATTATTTCATTAAACGAACAAGATACTTCAGATATTTTAAAACTATTGGCTGCTGCCGATGAGCTTCTTCTTCAAGAATTAATTGATCATTTACAGAATTATTTAATTAAACACAAGGCTGGATGGATTGAACAACATTTTGAGCTCACTCATCGAACAAGTTTTCAATTGAATTCTTTGTTGAAACTTCAAGAGTTTTGTACGGATTTAATGGCCAAAACACCTGAAAAAGTATTTCAATCATTTGATTTCACGTCACTTCCTGAAAAATCTTTAATTTCATTAATCAAAAGAGATGAATTGCAAATGAAGGAAGTTGAAGTTTGGGAATACGTATTAAAATGGGGTCTTGAAAAGAATCCTACTCTCATTACCGATCCTATAACCTGGTCAGATGAAGATTTTAAAATTATGGCAAATACCTTACAACGTTGTTTACCCTTGATTAGATTTTTTAGTTTATCTTCCGAAGATTTCTTTGATAAAGTTCACCCTTATAAAAAGCTTTTAGGTCCCCAACTTTATGAAGAATTATTAAAATCTTATTTGATTTCTAATAGAGAACCGAATATTAATATTTTGCTACCCAGAAATAGAAAGGATGATGGAATAATTGATTCAAAAATCGTCGATTTAAGTGGTGTTTCACTAATTTCGAGATGGATTGATAAATTAGGTATTAAAAGCAAATTTACCTATGCAAGGTTGCATTTACCATATAAATTTAAATTATTATTAAGAGGAAGCAGAGATGGATTCACTCCCAATAAGTTTCATGAATTATGTGATAATATTCCTTATACTGTTACATTCATCAAAGTTAAAGGGACAAATGAAATCCTTGGTGGATATAATCCTTTTATATGGAATAAATCCGGTAACTGTGGGTTAAATAAAGATAATTTTATATTTTCTTTTAAAAATAAGGATAATCTTAAAGATTTAATTGTAAGTTATGTAAAAAACAAGAGTAAACCGATATATTGTCGTAATAATGATGGCCCCTCCTTTGGCGATGATCTTCGAATATCATATGAATCACTAAAACCGCAAGATGTTCGCGGCTCTAAAAAAAGTTTAGAAACAAAATTTGATGATTTATCATCAGATGATGATGATTTAATTGAATTAATTGATGATGATTCATTATACTCGTTTAATTATAATTATTGTAAACTAAGCAGCTATGAAAAAAAGATAAGAAATACAAATGATAAATTTTCTATAGAAGATTATGAGGTATATCAAGTTTTAAAAGAGTCATTTCTGTCTGATCCTAATTTATAGGAAACATAATAAAAGAAATTATAACTCAGCAAATATCGTTCTTCTTTAAATAAGTTATTTAAAAAGTTTTCATAAATTTATACAAACACTAATTTTGATGTGATTACACTAATTTCTTTTATTCTGTTCGTTTCAATATATTATGCTAAAAGCGAATATTTTTTAATTATTTCATTAGTAGAAAAATTTGATGTCTTCCAAATATTTCTTTTTCAAGTTTTTTTTTTATTAGTGGCATATTCTCTTGATACTTGATTATTTGAGAAGGCTTATTAAAATTCAGGAAAATCAAAAAAAGATTCTAAAAGAAGATTTTTTTATTGCAGAAATCTGAAATTGTATAGTAATTCTACAATACTCAACTTAACCGGTAATTATATGCTATATTCCACTGATCTTCCAACCGAAAGAAGAGCAATACACACTAATACAGGTTAATTTCGAAACTTTGAATCGTCAAAATTAATAGAAGAACATAAAAAATAAAAATTTTGTATAATTTAGAATAGCTTAGAAATTCAATAATACTTGAATAATTTTTATAAAAAAAGGAAATCTGTCGGTATGGTTTATCGTACAAAAAAAAAAAAAAATCCAAATTATAAAATGACTAAAAAAAGAAATGATTGTTAGAATGATATCATACCATATAAAAGGCTGGATTTTTGTACGACGGAGAAAAAAAAAGTATTTCAAAACGATGTATTTTTTTTAAAAAAATACGCATAAAATTATCAAAACATAAACAATGTTATCATAAAATTCTATTTTTTGATAAATTTATTATTATTTACTTCAGATGAAAAAATTTATTGTCAAAGAGTGGGCTGAGCTTATTTCGGACCCTATTATATTTAATGATCAGTCTCATCAAGTCTTTGAACATGTTAACTTGCCCACGGTAAAAGATGAGCTTTCAGTGACATTACGACTGAAACTTCAGAAAACTACTTCTTGTTGGGCTACTATTTTTCACAAAGGTAGGGCTATTTTTTTCTTTGGTCAATGAGATTTATTTGTTAAGAATATTATCTTCCTTACATTTATCAGGTACAAAAAATTCAGTCCGTACGCCTAGGCTCGAGTGTACGCCAAACAAATTTTCATTGCAAGCTCTCTTCACAGGCAACTGGACTGATAATGCAGGAATTAACGATCTAGGCGACGAACTTTTGTTAGATAGGTGGTACCATGTGGCTTATTCGATTTCTGATTCTGAAAAGAGAGCAGATCTCTACATAGACAGTGAATGGGTCGGATCTTATAGTATTCATAACATTAAAAAGCAAAAAGTTGTCTTTAATGATGAACCGCTATATATCGGACGAGCTTTTAACGCAGCCGATGGATTTAATGGCAAAATTAGGTACGATTTTTCATGTAATAAAGTTTATCTATATAAAGATATTGAAAGATCATTTTATCAATTAGCAATTTTCGCTATTTCAACTGGCGTCTATGTGCCGAAGAAGTGAAGAAAGATTTTTTTGTAATGTTATTTAGAATTGAATTTCGTATCATAAACATTTGTCAGTCACATTGACAATTCCTATTTCATACTGATTTCAGAATAAACAAATTGCATACGGTTCGAAGGTCGCTCTAATTCACGTACCTACTGGAAAATATTTGTCTACCAAAAAAATCCAATATGACTTGGGTAAATACGGTCAGCGTATATGGTACAAACCTCTATTTTTCTTTCTTGTCATTAGTAATTTTAAACCTTAACATGTAAACATCTTTTATGTACTTACAAAGGTCGTTGGTAATGGACGGGAATTAGATTTGAAAAATGATTTATATACTGTTATTGAAGCTAATGGTACAAGTGTAAGGTCGGGAAGTCCTGTGTCCTTCGATACTATTGTTGGATTTAAACATCAAGCGACAGGAGGAATTCTACATTCGCATACCAAGTATTATGGAAGCACCCCATTAATGAATCATCAGCAAGGTATTTTTGTTGTATAAATATTATATACATAAATAACTTTTTATGTTATTTAATTAAAAAATTATAATGTTTAGTTACTATTTGGCATGGTAGAAATGGTGACGATAACTGGCTCATTCGACGTTTTAATTCAAGCACTTCCAGCGGTGACTCGGATTTTTTGTCGGATGGTGATATAATCAGTCTAATCCATGGCAAAACCGAGCTAGCACTTTATAGTCATCCCATGTTATTTGGTGATGGATCCCAAGAAGCTTCTTGTCATGGAAATGGAAATGACGAAAATAATAAAGTAAATACTTAACATTCACACAAATGGAAAATGCCTTTATATTCACTGAATAAGATATTATTAATTTTTTTTTAGTGGCGTATTGAATTAATTGATGATTCGGAATTGTGATTAGTTATTTGTAAAGGATAGTTTTAATCTTAAGAGCTTAACCTTTGCAATATTTTTAATCTTCTTTTACCATATTATTTAAGAAAATATAAATAAAAATTTAAACAAATTAAGTTAAAAATGGTAATGGATTTTTCCTATACAATTGATTTAGATATTAACTTTACAGGATTTTAAAAACGAAATAGTATTTGTATAATTTATCATATAGTCCAAAAGCTGTAGTAATTATTCTATGATAAATCGTTCTACATGAAAGTATATTTTTGTCGAGTGTTTATTTTAGTATCAAAAAAGACGACACCAGCTTCTCTATGTTCGAAATTCAATCGAATGCATTTGGAAAACCGTGACAAAGATTTTTTAATGAATGCATGCATGCAATTGGACGTTATTCAAATTGTTAGAAACAAATGGTAGTTAATTAAACTTTTTGCTCCTGGGGTCATATCCAATTAAAAATATTAAATTCTTTTCTTTTGCAAATTATTGTATATTTAAAATAGCAATAACATACATATATCGTATTTGTGTTTATCTTTGGACAGCTTTCAAACGAGAATCACATCAATTTTATTTTTTTCTTCGCAACCACCTTATCAGCCTTGTAGGTTGTAATTTGATTTAATATTTCTTAACAAAGGGTGATTTCTTAATTATTTGCGTGGATGAAATTTTAATTTGTCTTATGTATGAGGCTGAATGTGACCATATGGGAGCGTGGCCACATCACGGATTATATGATTTAATAACAATGACAACAAGTTTCCAAAAGCCTAAGTAAAAAATTAATTAGTTTAAACAAATTAATTATAAACGATAGAAAGCAGCAGAAATTTCATCTTTTTAATTGAACCTTTCTGATAGTATTTGAAAAAAACAATTTTATAAATCAAAATCATTTTGATTAAAGAGGAACTTATATTACTTTAACGATTTTATAAATCGTTCTGATTTTTTTATAAAATATCTATAACTTGTTAGATCAAAATTATTAAAGGATGATTAATAAACTTATTTCATTACCTAGTTACGCATGATTTTGTTCTGTTTTCTTTGATTCTAATCGAATAAATCCAACCAAAAATTAACTGATGAATTGAAAAGTGAATTAATTATATAGGGTTTCGATATTTACCCGGTTTTGTATTCGGATTAAAATTTTTAATAGGAAAAAGGATTATTATTTTTTTTTTTGATGAGTTATTTTAAGTTATATTTCAAAAAAAATGAATCAAGTATGAAGCATACCGTTAATTTTTCATAGAACTTTAGGGTTTCGATCCTTATTCCAACTATCCGAACAAATCCGTGATCCGAGCTTAATTAGGATATATGAGTAATTATATATGATTTATTGAAAGTCTAACAATTAAAGAATTTAATAAGAATGACATATTAAACCCCTTAGAAGGTTTACAGAGATATCGAAATTAACAACACTCATATGTTCCAATATTCCTATAACAAGCTTACAAAATTACCCGATGCCTTGATTGATCTGTACTCAAATTACTTTGCTACTTACTTTATCCTTAACAAATCACATGTTAAAGAACTAGCTTGCCAACTTTACCTACAGAACTCTTTGATTGAACATGATCTATTACACATATAACTATCCTTAACAGAACTCTGGTGTTCCAATACTTAAATAATTAGCTTACCGACTTTACCAATTTCTTTAACTCATCTTCGCTGTGTTAATACTCTAATAACTAGCTTACCAAATGTCACCGAATAATTAACGAGTATCATGTTTTGTTAAAGCTCATCTTTAGATTTATCTATGAAATAAATTTTAACCCAAAAACGTATGACGCCATATTTTTGTGTGTTTCGTACTGGTTCACACGATACGTCTTTATATTTTGATATTTTTTTGCACAGCATTGAACTTATCTGCTAAAATTAATTTACCCCCTGAAAATAAAATTTTAATTAAAAAAAAAATATAAATTGGAAAATTATTAAAATAAAATATAGCGGTTTAAAATTATTTAAATTCAAAAATTTAAAAAAAGATTCAAAAATAAATCCAAATAAATTTAAAATAAAACTAGATTACGGAAACGTTAATTATTGTATCATATTGTGATAGCAATTTACATTTTTAAATTTGTCAAATGCACGAATTATATTTTTTATTATAAGGAAAAAAACAGGTTTATTATTAGAATAATAAACGTTTGACGTACAATTTCAACGTTTTTAAATAATGTTAACAGAACATGTAATCTGATATGATTGTCTGATATTATGTAAATCGCGTAAAATAAGAACACTTCACGTGTAATAATCATTTCATTTATTTAAGTGCCTTGGTTGTATTTCATTCATCTCGTCAAACAATTTTTCAATTAAAAAGTAACAAGTTTACTACTATTTATGATATTTTCTTGTAATATGAGGAAACGGGAATCCTAAGTTTTGTAAAAGCCTGATGGATGTCCTTAATGATCCAGGAAAAAATAATATTCGAATTTGGTTGTCTTGTTTTATCAACTGAATGATCCAATTTCTTTAAAAAAACAATGCTGATTTGGTAAGAATTTGTATTATCACATATAAGTGCACAAATAGTCGGATGAATTGAAATAAACTTAAACTTTTTTTGATAAAATAACTTTAATTCATTTTTAAAGGTTGATGATTAAGGTGTGAACATTAGCGCGCCTTGATATATGTATTTTTTTTTATCAAACGAATTTTTTAAAAAGATAAGTTCATTTTCTTTTATTTTTTTTTAAAAAAAAACAATGATGATCTGGCCAAAATTTGAGTCATCACACATGGCAAGTGGACAGTTACGACTATCCTTGGGCATATAGTCGGGTGAAACTGATGATCCCATTGTCATGTAACATGCGTTGATTAGAGATACAACAAGAGACTGATATTGTTTTCATCAAAGAAACAAATTTTTGTTAGTATAAATACTACTAACTTATTATGGACTATTGAGTCTGGATTCTGATGTATTTATACATTACATTTTTTGTAGAATGTGGGATTAAAGATCATCATCGCACGAAATAAATTCAAAAAGCTATGTAACGTGATGATACAGCAATTTATGAATACATAGCTCAAATACATCGCTCGCTAACATCTTTTAATGATAGTAGGTAATTTGCGAATATATATATATCTTCTTAATTAATGATTTTTCTTTGCAAATATTTTTTACCGATGAACTACTGTTTGTTTAAAAACTACTCTCAATGAAAAATTACTTTACATACGAAACGATACAATATTATTTAATGGAATTTAAATAAATACGAATATAATACTATATATTTTAATAATCCAGTATATAATTTGACAATCAAATTAATTTAACTAATTTTTACTATTTTTTTTATTAAGCGATTATTACGGGTTGGATCGCTGCTTTCACAAGGAACTTTTTAGCTTGGATTCAATTGCTTCAGGGTGCATCGTTTTAAGAAATTGCTTAATTTATTATTATTTTTCTTTCCAAAATTTTGTTTTTTAATTATTTAGTTAGTTCTTTGGTTTAATTACTTTAAAAATGCACTATAAGATCATAATCCCGAATATTATTTTTATGAATTATTAAAAATATTAAGTATATTTTAAGAGCGAGTTTAACGAAGTTTATTGAGCTTTTTAAATCTTTACTTTTATAATTTAGCAAATAATCTTTATCTTGATCACCTTTTAAATTATTTTTGTCAACCATCGATGAAAATTGCTAAACCATATGCATTATCTCATCGAAAGAAAGTTTAAAAAACCATTAATAAAAATTTGCTATTAGCAAATTATTATTATATTATAATTTAAAAATCTATGAAATTCTCATTCGGGATTATGATGACTACGGGACTTTTTGAGGATTTTACATAATAAATAAAATAAAAATTACGTTAGCAGATAGAATTTTTAGTTTTAATTTTTTTCGTTCGTTTTTAAAAATTTAATTATTCGATATCTAAACAAACTCACTTATTTTATGTAAATGCCTCAATAAACTTATTCTTTTTTTTCAAATAAAAATGAATAATTGTCCGAAGCGTAGCTAAAGGACATTACCGGACGGGTGAGGTAATTGTCGATTCCAAAATTCATATTTTTTTTATATATTATTACAATTATTTATCAAGAGTTACTTATTTTAGATAAGCGATTAAACTTTTCAATAACTCGTAATTTCAATATTTGTTTACAGTCATTTGGGACCGTTTAATATTCCTAAAAAAAACTTATCTAAATAGGAATATCGGAAATAAAAAAACTGTCTATACTCAACCAACAATCCATCTTTTTATACCTTAAAAATCGAAGTAACACTATGAAGAATTTCTTAATTTAATTACAAAGTTTGGGATGGTTAGGATGATTTAATGTTGAATTGGTTAAGGTCCTTTAAAAACTCGTTATTTTTTTTTTGTACAGAAATATACGTGAGCGTTCATTATTTATTAACTTCACAATAAATAAAATCAGATCAAAAATCTTTAACGTGTACGATTTCTCATTCAAAGATTGTGTAAAGAAATAATTAATTCCTTAAAATCGTGATTTGAATGAATACATCCATTTGTCATATTCGATTACACTGGAATAAACCTAATGTGACCAAAAATTGCAATCCAAATGAATCTTACAGTAATTAAATAGAAAGTCATTTTTAGTCACATAACTTCATGTGAAAATGAGAATTGACTTAATATAATGATAAAATTAAAAACATGGGCCTCCATTAATGCAACAATTTGTAGCAAATCAATTAAATTTTCGAAAGCTTTGCCTAAATAATAGAATGTCACATGATTGTGCTATATGTAACACAGTATCGCCCCAAAGTTTATAAGTAATTTTCCACCCACGTGTCCGGTGACATTTAATGGGGGTGAAACAAAATTTTTTAGTGGTGAAAATTACTAAGTCTTTGAATACATAGTAAAAATGAATCACGTGGGGGTGGAAATTCTTGGGGCGATACTGGGTAAGATATATGTGATTAGATCGTTATTTTTTCGAGATAAGCCAACTTCTGATATTAGTTAGATGATCGTTGCATTTCCATCATTGCAAAATTTGTAAGGTAAACCGATATTTATCACTCTAGATCTGTATTATCAACATTGACAATATATTCTCAAGAACTAACTCAGACCCTTCAACTTTTCCAAAGTGGCCAACATTTTTTGCAATGATGATTTGCATAATCCTTCCATGTCTTAAGGAAAATTTGACACCATTAGTTCTTGAATCGCCCGACTACGGTTTGTTGTTTGTTCCCCTGTTACTTTCGTGTTTAAACCCCAATAAACTTCTAAATTCTGCTGATGTCAAATTAAAATCTACTAAGATTATTTGACCTTATTTAACTTTTGTTGAGAAATAACTTTATTTTTCGGTTGTCTATTATTAATTAGATACTTTTCAGCGGCAATAAATCTCTTTAAATTCGCCATAGCAATCGATCTCATCAAATTCTTCTACAATGGTTCCTTGGGTCCAATCTTAATAAACTCAGTATGATTTGTAAATTGTTGACTCCATCATGTAATTCACAATTCATAATCCTTCCGCAATTTATAATTTTCGTTTCGTAATACTTCATTATCTTTTCGCAATATTTCATTACCTTTTCGCAATTCATCATTTGCATTTTGCAGAACTTTAATTTCTTTTCGTAGAAATTTAATTTCATTTTGCATATCTATAAATTTTTTTCTACTATCTTTAACCATTGAATTATATTGATCTTATAAACACCTATATCTATCATATAAATCTTTATATTTTTCATATAAATCCTTCTTTTGTTAGGGTTAACTAAATATTTTTTATCAAAGACTAACTTTACCCAAGTTACCTGTATCATGTTTGCTACGACTGGTGATAATTGAAATGTCACGGTTGTGGAATTAGAAGCATGAGAATTCGAAAGTTCTTCTTCGGATTTCTCAACCGCTGTTAGTTCTAATTGTTGATAAAGAAGTGGCGAAGTGGCGATTGTGTAGATTTTTGTTTTGTAATTTTATGTACATCTTAAACAAAAAAATTTGTTTTAAAGAAGTTTTATACATAAAATTCAACACTATTTTTTACCTTTTTCTTCGACATTACTATCTTTATTTGAACGCTTTTTATTTTTATTTTGGCGTCTTTTACATTTACTTTTGTTCGTCATTTTGTAAATAAAGGACTATTGCTTTTATTTATTTTTGTTCGTGATTAAATATCCTTTGCGTATCAGATAAAAAAACTAGGCACGTGATTTTATATAAATTATATGTCACACGATATCTTATTTAGGTAGTTCAAAACTATAAACTATTCTATTTTCATAGAAAATGTCTTTTTTTATATATAATTTATTGGTTCCTACCTTCTAGACTAGAGATCGGAACTATATCGTATCGAAATAAAAAAAAATAAAAATATTATTTTGTTAGTGGCGCAATAAGTGCGCTATATACGAGGCCTTGCATAACAGCTAAACAAATATCTAATATTTCATATCAGAAAGATTTTATCCTGACGCTAAAATTTAAATCGAAAATCAAATCTTAGAAATAGAATCTTCGAGAAACAATTAATCGTGTATAATCGATTCTATTTTTTAGATTTGAATCGATTCCAATCCTTATAATAGTTTGGATCGATATTATAATGATAAAAAATAAACAATTCCCTCAACTCCATAAAAATCTTTTCGATAATAAGTTTATTGAACGAATTTATAAAATGTTTCTAATTATTCGTATTAAATATATTTCAGCGAAAAGATATTCAATGGTTTATTTTCTCTTACACCTGAAATCAATGAAAGTATTTAGTTGATTCAAAGCTATTTTACTTAGTATTAATGCCTCTAATTTTGTTAATACTAGTAACGGGGACCGTTGAAACGTCCGAAACGTTAATTCACATCAGAAATTCGAAAGTAAACGTAGTACAAATCAAACGTATCAAAAATACAATAAATTACACAAAAATCTAAAAGTAGTTAATAACCCAAGATAATTGGATATCTTTTTTTTGTAAAAAAAATTTTTCAATTTACATTTTATTTGTAAAAAAACTTTACATTTAATATTAGGAAGCTGACGGGTATCCATCAAAATTATGTACACATGAACGCAAACACAAACAGATTTCTAATGCAAAATTTAGCCGGCAAACAATAAAGAGTAATTTTATTTTATTTTATTATTTCAATACAATAATCAAACGTTACGATAAAATAAAGCTTGACAAAAAAAAAATAAAAAGAAAACAGCAAATTTCAAAAATAAACAAAAAAAGCAATCAGTCAAAACGCAAAAGCGAAGTGTAACACAAAATAACAAAAACTGATTGGACGATCACGCGGCGTGACAGACACAACATGTCCTTAGGATCAGGTTTTAAATTTCAAAATTAATATTTTTAATAAATATTCAATTATCAAATTATCATTAGAGAGTAAAATATAACACTAGTAAAATAAAAATCTTCTCTAGAACTGGCAAATTTATTGGGACTTTTAGGACCATTTAGGACCATTTAACATCCCTAGTTTTTTTATTTAGCTGTAGTAATTCTGCAACGATCAAAAACACTTAATAAAGAATACAGAGCGATAACATTGAGGCAGTACTGATAAATTAATTTTTAATAAATTATTACATAATTATTACATAATTAAAAATCTCTGCTAGAGTTGGAACTGATATTTATCTTTGATTTTAAATCCAGTTTCCTTCAATTTGAATTTATTTTCATCTGAATACAATTCTTTCATTTCATCCGAATATAATAAATCCAGTTTATTCGTTTCATCCAGATTTAATAAATCAGTTTATTCGTTTCATTTACAGTAGTGACGGAAAAAAATGGCAGTCGCAATCATGTGATTAAAATGATGATTTACATCACATCTGATTGGATAATACAAACCAATTTTTTGTTTGGTTGTTTACTATGTTACACTGATTAACATGCATAAAAAAACTGAACACAAGAGTACCTCATGACCGATCTGATGTAATAATGCCGCAAAAAATTTCTATTAAAAAACGACGTGAGATGGTTAAGTCGTTGTGGAATAATGGAACACGAAATGTTGTTAGCTGTAAAATTAACATTATTATAAGATCTACAAATTATTATTTGACTTAGTTGACAAATATGACAAATTGGTCATATTTGACCGATCTACCATATTTATCA